CTGAGATGGTACCACTGCACTCCAGCCTGGGTGACAGAGCGAGACTCCATCTCAAAAAAAAAAAAAAAGGAATCACTTGAACCCAGCAGGCAGAGGTTACAGTGAGCCGAGGTCACGCCACCGCACTCTGGCGTGGGTGACAGAGTGAGACTCAGTCTCAAAAAAAAAAGCTTGAAAGCTTCGGCTTAGAACCAACAGACCAGGATCTAATCTTACTTTCACTACTCTTTCGCTACTTCTTAGGTGACCTTCCATTCCCTCACCTGGAAAAAGATGAAAAAATCACAACTCACAGGTCTAAAAATATGTGTGGCACATACTTCTCTATTGGAGTGGCAGGAGCACAGGCATGGGTTCTGAGAACCACGGACAAGTCATCACACCTCTGTGCCTTAGTCTCCTCATGTATAAAAAGAAGCTATTGGCCAGGCGCGGTGGCTCAAGCCTGTAATCTCAGCACTTTGGGAGGCCAAGACAGGCGGATCATGAGGTCAGGAGGTTGAGACCATCCTGGCTAACACGATGAAATCCTGTTTCTACTGAAAAACACAAAAAAACTAGCCGGGCGAGGTGGTGGGCGCCTGTAGTCCCAGCTACTCGGGAGGCTGAGGCAGGAGAATGGTGTAAACCCGGGAGGCGGAGCTTGCAGTGAGCTGAGATCCGGTCACTGCACTCCAGCCTGGGCGACAGAGCCAGACTCCGTCTCAAAAAAAAAAAAAAAAAGAAGCTATTGGCATTTCCTTCCTAGGGTCATTTTGAGAATTTAAATGTAAAGGGTCCCTTGGCTGGGTGCAGTGGCTCATGCCTGTAATCCCAGCACTTTGGGAGGCTGAGGCAGGCAGATCACTTGAGTCCAGGAGTTTGAGACCAGCCTGGCCAACAGGGCAAAACACCATCTCTACTAAAAATACAAAAACTAGCCAGATGGGGTGGCGCATGCCTGTAGTCTCAGCTACTTGGGAGGCTGAGGCACAAGAATCACTTGAACCCAAGAGGCAGAGGTTGCAGTGAGCCAAGATCACGCCACTGCACTCCAGCCTGGACAACAGAGCAAGGCTGTCTCAAAAAAAAAAGAAAAAAGAAAAAGAAAAAGAAAAAATAGGGTCCCAATAAATAAAGTACTTGACACACAGAGTAGGTACTCAATTAATTAGTCCTATCTTAAGTCTGGACTCAACTCTTGTCTCCCTCATCACAGCAGGACTAGCACATCACGCAGACCAGGAGTCAGCCTTTTAGGAAGAACCAATATCCAACCTTTGGACTTCTCCCATCATTTCCAGGGATGACAACAACATCTCACAACCACAGGCCTCTCTAATCACAATCAATATGGTAAACATTTTTGTAATATATATTATGGACTGAACACCAGTACGTTTCAAGGAATGTCTGCTTTAGGGTACTCACAGGCCAATGAAGATACAAAAACATGCACCATCAATATAAGACTTAATAAACATTAATGTGTACCAAGTGTCTACAGTATGCCACAGAGGAAGAGTAATTCACCAAAGGGACTAAAAGAATGGCTTGTAGAGGTGAGCCTTGAAGAACGAGGGCAAGTGGGGGAGTGCCATGGCCCTTTTCAGAACAGCTGGGAATACAAATCTACTAATGCTGAGGGGACTGAATGCCAAGAGGTACATCCTAGCTCTTTCAACAGGGGCCACTACACTAAAACCCTAGGAAACCGGGTGGACACTAAGCATTAGCCCTCCAGGCCAGTGGTTCTCACAACAAGTTGGGTGTTTGGGGTAGTCACACCCATCCCCTGTGACGTCTGGCAATGTCTGGAGACAGTTTTGATTGTCATGCCTGGGGAGTAGGGGTGCTACTGTCATCTAGCAGGTAGACGCCAAGGATGATGTTAAACATCCTACGATGAATGCACAGGGCACATCCCACAGCAAAGGATTATCTCGCTGGAAACGTCAATAGTGCCATTGTTGAGACACTCGGTCTCCAGGAAAGGCACTCCGTATGTGCTACTTCAGCAAGGGCAGCCTCTTAGGCTAGGATATGATTCAGTTAGAACATCTCTGGGGTGGAAGAATACAGCAGGATTCCAAAAGAACCACATCTGAGGTGAGAGGAATCCACGGTATATCGTTTAGAGTTGGGAAGTTAAGATATAAAATAGAGGCTTTACCTGACCACCCTTTCTAAAGACACCACCCAAGTCACTTTATCACATCCACCGGTCTCATTTCCTGTATAGCACTTATGACAGCCTAAAACCATCTTATTTTCTCCTTATCTTCTTTCCCCTCTGGAATATAAGTTCCCTGTGAGCATGGAGTTGGTTTATTCTATCTTCCGCTGTTTCCACAACTTGCAATGGAATAACTCCTGATAAACAAAAAGCATTCAACAAATTTGGTAAATCAATTTCGGCTTTTGATGGTTTCGGTGGTAGGAAAGGGGCGAGTTCGAGGCAACTACCTCTGACATAGCGGTTGGGGGTGGGGATCGAGACCTCTAGCACTCTAAAGTCTGGAGGGCTGGGTCTGAAATACAAAACTGCCGCCTCCGGAGAAGAGTAGAAAGGAAAGAGTTGGAGTGTACCAATGCGAGGTGAGAGGAGACGCTGGGCTGAAACAGAAGTGCACCGTTTGGGACCGAAGGCTACGGGAGGGCTACCAGCGTCCCCACATTTTCCGGAGGGGGTCAAATAAGTCTGGGAAGCCGGCCCCGGGCGGCGCGGCGGGGAGCCGCGAGGCGGGGGACTGGCAGCTGGCGGGAAGCTGGCTCCAGACGCGCCTACTTTGGCGGGAGGGGGAAGTAGGCGGGGTAACTGGCAACTCGGCCCGTACCACTCGGCCGGGGCGGGGGCCGCGCAGGAAGAGGCAAGTGACACCTGGAAGGGGTTCGAGTTAGAGCAGCCGCGTGGGGAGAGTGGGTTCGAACAGAACCCCCTCTGGAGGGGCAAGGAACCCGTAAGGGTCCGCGACGTTTCAGGTTACATGGGCTGGGTTGTACTACTCCGGAACCGGATAAGGGGTCCAGGCCGGGACGTGCGCAGGGCCGCAGCCAGGTTTATCTCACCAGAGCCATTGGGTCCAATGATGGCGGTGAACCTCTGAAATGGTCCGATAATCTGTCGACCCTTGTACGACTTAAAGTTCTCGATCTCAATCAGTTTCAGGAACCCCATGACGGCCGCGGCGCCGGCGGCGGTAGGACAGGCCGCGCCGTACGCCCGGGAACCGAGGTAGCCCGCGCGGGAAACGCCGCAGTGCAAGCCGGGCGGCCGGCAAATGTCGCGAGAATACCTCCAGGCCTAACGGGATTTTCGGCTTCCGGCAGGAGTGGGACCAGGGGCGGGGATTGATGTTGCGTATACGAGGAGCGAGCTGACGACTGGCGTGGTGCCTCCGCCCCCCTTTCTTGTTGCATGGCAACAACAAACACTTGCTCCTGTGGACCAGGTCCTCGGAGGAGTTGGTGCTGGGCGGAGTCAGAGCAGCCCTTGAGGTTCAAGGAGGCGGGGGAGACCTGAGCTCACGCTTGCTGAGACAGAAGTCACAGCAGGATTATGCCCCTCAGGGCAAGAGGAAGGTGGGAGCTCGGCTGTGGGTTTAGCCTGGCCAGCCTTCACGGCTAGGACAAGGACAGGGGCGGGAATTGGAAGGACCCGGGGGGAGCGGAGGGCTGGACGAGAAGGAGGGGCCAACGGGAGGATTCAGTGTTAGGTGAGCTCAGACTTTGCTAATGGTGGGGTGGGATTGGAGGCGGGACGGGATGCCAAGGCGGATGGGGTGTGAATGGGGCTGGGGCTATTCCCAGGCAACAGGGATACAGGCTGGGGAAGGCTACGGCCTGAGATACTACCCCTATCCGCTACCTCCCTCCTGTTCTACCAAGCAGAGTTCAGAAACTGCCGCCGTAACCCAAGAACAAAGTTGCATGCAGAGCCAACATAAGAGCTTCAAAATCGGGATTCCTTACTGAGAAAGGTATTTTGTGTGAACCCCCAGGAGTCAGGGTCCCTAAGCCGGTGCTCTCCACCTCCACCTACCTCTCCCTCCATGCCTCTCCCCCATCCCATTCCCACAGCTCTATACCACGATGCCACCTTACCTCTCTTCCCTCTCTGCTCTCTATCATTAATAAGGCAGGGGCCTTAGCAATCCAAGAAGCTTAGAATGTCTGCTGAATCTTCCCCTTCAGTGACCTTATACTGTGGTGGCAGGTGGAAACAGTAGGTAAGTTGGTGCCATTCTCAGACTTAAACACGGAAAGGATCTGGTGGTTGCCATAATTATTCCTTTAACTGTTTATTAAATTATGTCCGAAGGCTAGAAAGAGTCCTAAAGACTTAGGACAAGTCCAGGAAAGTGAGGAAGTGGCTGGGTATGGTGGCTGACACCTGTAATCCCATCGTGAGGGAGGCAGGCCAAGGCAGGAGGATCACTTGAGACCAGCAGTTCAAGACCAGCCTGGGCAACATAGTGAGACCCTATCTCTACTAAAAATTTAAAAATTAGCTGGGTGTGGCAGCTCTCACCTGTGGTCTACCCAGGAGGCCGAAGCAGGAGGATCACTTGAGCCTGGAAGGCTGAGGCTGTAGTGAGTGGTGTCTGCACCACTTCACTCCAGCCTAGGTGACAGAGCAATACCCTGTCTCAAAAATAAAGGGAGGAAGCTTGGTAGATGGAATCTAGTAGGGGAGCCATAAATGAAGTTCAGTTGGGAGAAACAATCAGGCTGAGGGAATAAAATGGCTAAAGGAAAGCAATCTCATGTAATCCATGGGGAAATACTGTTCCCTTTTAAAAGATGAGATGGTGAGCCCTGGGTAACATAGCAAAACCCCATCTCTACAAAAAAATTTTAAAAATTAGCCAGGCATGGTGGCACACACCTGTAGTCCAGCTACTCAGGAGGCTGGGGCAGGAAGATCCTTTGAGCCCAGGAGTTCGAGGCTGCAGTGAGCCATGATTGCACCACTACACTCCATCCTGGGCAACAGAGAGAGACCCCATCTAAAACCAAAATAACATTTTATTCTCTGCCTCAACCTCCCAGGTAGCTAAGATTACAGGCACCTGCCACCACGCCGGCTAATTTTTTTGTATTTTTAATATAGACAGGGTTTCACCATGTTGGCCAGGCTGGTCTTGAACTCCTGACCTCATGATCCACCTGCCTTGGCCTCCCAAAGTGCTGAGGCGTGAGCCACCGTGCCCGGCCAAAAATAAAATACATTTTTAAATTAAAAAAAGATGAGATGGCACTTGGGAAAATTAAATTGGATTCTTATCTCACACCATACACAAAATGCTATTCCAAGTGGATTAAAAACCTAAATGAGGCCGGGCACAGTGGCTCATGCCTGTAATACCAGCACTTTGGGAGGTCGAGGCAGGAGAATTTCTTGAGTTCAAGAATAGCTTGGGCAATATAGTGAGACCCCATCTATATTAAAAAAAATTAAATGGGACCTGGCACGGTGGCTCACGCCTGTAATCCCAGCACTTTGGGAGGCCGAGGTGGGCGGATCACGATATCAGGAGACCGAGATTATCCTGGCTAACATGGTGAAACCCCGTCTCTACTAAAAATAAAAAAAATTAGCTGGGTGTAGTGGCGGGCGCCTGTAGTCCCAGCTACTCGGGAGGCTGAGGCAGGAGAATGGTGTGAACCTGGGAGGTGGAGCTTGCA